GGCCTGCCTTACAAGTGCTCTTGAAACAATCACTAAACATGGAACAACTAGTACCAGTCACTCCATAAATGTACCAAATGTTAAAAAGCATCAACACAATGAAGAAACTGCATCAATTAATGGGCAAAGCAACCAGCTAGCATCAAAATGGCAGGATTAAATTCACACATAACAATATTAACCTTATATCTAAATGGGCTAAATGCCCCAATCAAAAGATACAGACTGGCAAATTGGATAAAAAGTCAAAACCCTTTGGTGTGCTGTATCCAGGAAACTCATCTCACATGCAAGGACACACATAGGCTCTAAATAAAGGGATGGAGGAAGATTTACCAAGCAAATGGAGAGGGAAAAAAAAAAAGGCAGGAGTTGCAATCCTAGTCTCTGCTAAAATAGACTTTAATCCAACAAAGATCAAAAGAGACAAGGGCATTGCATAATGGTAAAAGGATCAATGCAACAAGAGCTAACGATCCTAAACATATACACACCTAATACAGGAGCACCCAGATATATAAACAAGTTCTTAACTAACTACAAAGAGACTTAGACTCCAACACAATGATGGTGGGAGACTTTAACACTCCATTGTCAATATTAGATCAACGAGACAGAAAATGAACAAGGATATCAAGGATTTGAACTCAGACCTGGATCAAGCAAACCTAATAGACACTTACAGAACTCTCCACCCCAAAGCCACAGAATATACATTCTTCTTAACACCACATCATGCCTACTCTAAAATTGACCACACAATTGAAGTAAATCACTCCTCAGCAAATGCAAAAGAATGGACATCATAACAAACAGTCTCTCAGACCACAGTGCAATCAAATTAGAACTCACAATTCAGAAACTAACTCAGAACCACACAACTGCATGGAAACTGAACAACTGGCTCTTGAATGTTGACTGGATACACAATGAAATGAAAGCAGAAATAAAGATGTTCTTTGAAAGCAATGATAACTAAGGCACAACATACCAGGATCTCTGGGACACATTTAAAGCAGTGTCTAGAGGAGAATTTACAGCAATAAATGTCCACATGAGAAGGAAAGATATAAAATTGACACCCTATTATCAAAATTGAAAGAGCTAGAGGAGAAAGAACAAAAAACCCCTCAAAAGTTAGCAGAACAAGAAATAAGATCAGAGCAGAACTGAAGGAGATAGAGAGACAAAAAACCCTTAAAAAATCAATAAATCTGGGAGATGGTTTTTTGAAAAAATGAACAAAATAGACCACTAGCCAGATTAATAAAAAAGAAGGATCAAATAGATGCAATAAAAAATGATAAAGGGGGATATCACCACCAATTCCACAGAAATACAGACTACTGTCAGAGATTACTACAAACAACTCTATGCACATAAACCAGTAAACCTGGAAAAAATGGACAAATTCCTGAATACTTGCACCCTTCCAAGCCTAAACCAGGAAGAAGTCAACACCCTGAATAGACCAGTAACAAGGGATGAAGTTGAGGCAGCAATTAATGGCCTGCCAAACAAAAAAAAGCCCAGGTCCAGATGGGTTCACAGCCGAATTCTACCAGACATACAAAGAAGAGCTGGTACCATTCCTTCTGAAACTATTCCGAACAATCCAAAAAAAGGGAATCCTTCCCAAATCATTTTATGAGACCAACATCATCCTGATACCAAAACCCAGCAGAGATCCAACAAGAAAAGAAAACTTTAGGCCAATATCTATAGTGAACATAAATGCAAAAATCTTCAATAAAATATTGGCAAACCGATTGCAACAGCAAATGAAAAACCTTATTCATCATGATCAAAGAGGCTTCATCCCGGGATGCAAGGCTGGTTCAACATATGCAGGTCTATAAAAATAATCCACCACATAAACACAACCAAAGGCAAAACCCAATTATCTCAATAGATGCAGAGAAGGCCTTCAACAAAATTCAGCAGCCTTTATGCTAAAAACTCTCAGTAAACTAGGTATCGATGGAATGTGTTTCAAATTAATAAAAGCTATTTATGACAACCCCACAGCCAATATCATACTGAATGGGCAAAAACTGGAAGCATTCCCTTTGAAATCTGGCACTAGACAAAGATGCCCTCTCTCACTACTCCTATTCAATATAGTATTGGAAGTTCTAGACAGAGCAATCGGGCAACAAAATGAAATAAAGTATATTCAAATAGAAAAGGAGGAATTCAAATTGTCTCTATTTGCAGATGACATGATTGTATATTTAGAATACCCCACTGTCACAGCCCAAAATCTCCTGAAACTGATAACTTTAGCAAAGTCTCAGGATACAAAATCAATGTGCAGAAATCATAAGCACTCCTATACACCAATAACAGACTTAAAGAGAGCCAAATCAAGAACAAACTGCCATTCACAATTGCTACAAAGACAATAAAATACATAGGAATACAACTAACAAAGGATGTAAAGGACCTCTTCAAGGAGACCTACAAACCACTGCACAACAAAATCAGAGAGGACACAAACAGATGGAAAAATATTCCATACTCATGGTTAGGAAGAATCAGTATTGTGAAAATGGCCATATTGTCCAAAGTAATTTACAGATTCAATGCTATCCCCATCAAGCTACCTCTGACCCTATTCATAGAAATGGAAAAAAAATCTGAAACTTCACATGGAACTGAAAGAGAGCCCACAAAGCCAAGTCAATCCTAAGCAAAAAGCACAAAGCTGGAGGAATCATAATATCTGACTTCAAACTATACAACAAGGCTACAGTAATCAAAACAGCATAATACTGGTATCAAAACAGAGAGATAGACCAATGGACAGAACAGAGGCCTTGGAGACAGTGCCACATATCTACAACCATCTGATCTGTGACAAACCTGACAAGAACAAGCAATGGGGAAAGGATTCCCTGTTTAATAAATGGTGTTGGGAAAACTGGCTAGCCAGGTAGAGAAAGCAGCAGCTGGACCCCTTCCTGACACCTGACACTAAAATTAACTCCAGATGGATTAAAGACTTAAACATAAGACTTAACACCATAGTAACTCTAGAAGAAAACCTAGGCAAAACCATTTAGGGCATAGGCATAGGCAAGGACTTCATGACTAAAACACCAAAAGCATTGGCAACAAAAGGCAAAAGAGAATCTAATTAAACTCCAGAGCTTCTGTACAGCAAAAGAAACAATCATTAGAGTGAACCAGCAACCAACAGAATGGGAAAAAATGTTTGTAATCTACCCATCTGACAAAGAGCTAATATCCAGAATCTACCAAGAACTAAAACAGATTTACAAGAAAAAACAATCCCATTCAAAAGTGGGCAAAAGATATGAACAGACACTTCAAAAGAAGACATTTATGACGCTGAAAAACAGATGAAAAATGCTCATCATCACTGGTCATTAGAGACATGCAAATCAAAACCACATTGAGATGCCATCTCACACCAGTTAGAATGGCGATCTAACTGGTGATCGCCATTTAGAGAATATGGACAGGATATGGAGAAATAGGAACACTTTTACCCTGTTGGTGGGAGTGTAAATTAGTTCAATCATTGTGGAAGATAGTGTGGCGATTCCTCATGGACCTAGGAATAGAAATTCCATTTGACCCAGCAATTCCATTACTAGGTATATATCCAAAGGATTATAAATTGTTCTATTATAAAGACACATGCACACATAAGTTCATTGCAGCACTGTTTACAATAGCAAGAACCTGGAACCAACCCAAATGCCCATTGATGATAGACTGGACAAGGAAAACGTGGCATGTACACACCATGGAATACTATGCTGCCATAAAAAATGATGAATTTGTTTGTCCTTTGTAGGGACATGGATGAATCTGGAAACCATCATTCTCAGCAAACTGACACAAGAACAGAAAATCAAACACTGCATGTTCTCACTCATAGGTGGGTGTTGAACAGTGAGAACACACGGACACAGGGAGGGGAGCATCAAACACTGGGATCTGTTGTGGGTGGACTAGAGGAGGGATGGGGGAGTAGAAGTTGGGGAAGGATAACATGGGGAGAAATGCCAGATATAGGTGACAGGGGATGGAGGCAGTAAACTACATTGCTGTGTATGTACCTATGCAACAGTCCTGCATGTTCTGCACATGTAACCAGAACCTAAAGTGCAATAAAATGAATATATTAAAAAAATGGAAAATGCTACTCTAGAACAGAGAAAAATGCCACAATTTTCAAGTGCATGAGTTTTCACTGAATAGTGCCAATAGTCAATGAGACAGAAGTCAAATTCAGTTGCAACTCGAGCTAATGCATTTTTAAATATTTAGGCACACGTGGATGAAATTTGGTTAAAGGGTCCAAAAGAAACTATTTTAGGTTTGTGGAATGGTACTGGTAGAAATAGTTTGTGTATGTCTGAAGCATCAAGATGAATGTAGTGTTTATTTGCCTTTCTTGGGTGTTGGAGCTATGTTTTGCTTACCTGGCAATTTCAATAAATGAGCTAAGTGTAGGACTATGTGGTTCCCAAAATTCAGAACCACTTCATTCCCATAGATGTAAATTATTGATGAGTATGAGCAAGAGAGGATCATTGATATTAAATAAACTAAATCCTGTGGGGACTGCTTCAGAAGTGTGATGGATTGAGTACCAAGGAATAAAATGAAATATACCTAATATATCATGCTGAAATCTCAGGTTATGTTCACTTTTCTTAAGTAATGAAATAGAGTCTCTCAATAACAATTACCTTTCAAATAGCATTCATGCACTGATAGGACCAATAAATAAAACTAGAAAAATATCACCTTGAGGCTTTCACCAGAGCAATGATGAATTGTTAAATCATTTTTCAGATAATCATGTCTCATTTGCGGATATTTTATTTCTTTGATATTACCTCAAATGGGCTTAGTAAAACAATTTATTGATAATTATCAAATAGTATCTTTCTCTCTGGAAATATGAAATAATTTAAATATTAGTACATTATCTTTACCCTTATTAAATCTTCTTCATTTTCAGGGGATGAGGTATTATTAATGTTTATTAAAGTCTCCGAATCCATTTCTTTGGGAGGATCTAATTTCATTGAAAGAACCAGGCAGGTAGGTTAATGTTCTGACTGACTTACAAATGGTAGTTTTCATTTATAAGATACACATCCCCATTGATTTTGAGGTTTCAATCAAATTATTTCATCATCATTTTTGAAATATGGAACTTATTCAAACCTCTCCTCCTCTGATTACTGCTAACTGCAGCCTCAACATCCTTGAGCTCAAGTGATCCTCTCACCTCAGCCTCCCAGGTATTTGAGACCACAGGCAGTTTCCACCACACCTGACTAATTTTTGTATTTTTTTTTTTGGATAGGTTTCACCACATTGCCAATCTGGTCTTGAACTTCTGGGCTCAAGGGATCTTTTCACCTCAGCCTCCCAAAGTGTTGGGATTACAGGCATGAGCTGCCATGCCAGCTTGTAGATACTTAACAATATTATGTTGACTCAGAATTTTTTAAAGTCAGAGTTAATGAGATAATTTACATAAATAATTATGATGTATATTGTAGAACAGAAATTGTAACATTTAACATATTTTACATTCATACAAATAACCCTTATTAGTTTACAGTAATATGAGTTATAACAAATGTGCAAAGTCACATAACTACCAAAACAATCAAGATACAGGATGTTTCCATCATGACAAAATATGCCCTTCTTACACGTTGTAGTAAGCCAATCCCTTGATCTGCAGCCACTGGCTAATGCTGATTTATTTTCTCTAACTGTGGATTGCCATTCCCAAAATATTAGATGAATGGGATCAGAATTTTCCTTCTGTACCCATAGTTTTGGCTTTTCTGAGTATGTACACCTCAGATGGGCTGTCTCTCCACGTCTTGCACCTCCTCCACAGGTATGCTGCCTTGCCGGTTACTTGATGCTTGCTGGCCTGTTAGAAATCAAGGACTTTTCTATTGTCCTGTCTTAGAAAGATGCCCAATCCTGGTATCTCATTGTTGGGGTTTTCTTAATGAATGTGCCCTTAATGAATCTCAGCAAATCTGTTCTCAATGGTAGCTAAAATATGCCTTATTTATTTGGTGGACTTTGAATGGGGCAGAAATTCCTGACCCATCTACAGTGATTGGAGCCCGCAGAACAGTTTTCTCTTTTGTGTCCAGGGTAATTGTTTTGTTTCTTTTATACTTCCCCCAGCTGCAGGGTGCCTTCACCTGTGCAACAAGGCTTTTGTGTTCCCTCTTGTCATTAGAGAAGGATCATGGGTCAGCTTTCCAACAGGCAACCCTGCTGCCCTTCAGGGTTACACCATGAGAGGGTGACTCTGATCTCCCATGCTGATCTAATCTTACTTATACTCAGTTGGAGTTCATCTGTGGAGAGCAGCCTGTGACTGAGCAGACATCTTTTTGTGTGTACCCCCAAGAGGTTCTGGCCTTTCATGAGATCCCCCTAAACACTGCTTCTGTAGCAACCCATCAAGCATTGTAACTGATTTCTTATGTCGTTTTGTGGTACCTGGCTTCTGTTCCTTCTGTGTTCTGCATCAGGCGAACTAATGCTCATGCCTCGTCCCCTTAGTAGGTCCTGCTTCTCCTTAGAGTTTTCATTAATTGTTTTCCCTGGAACTGTAACCCTGTGATGGGCTCCAGGAAACTTATAATATTTTAGTTTCTTCAGCTGTCTTGTGTTATTTGGGTAGGAAAGATTTATTCCCAGTTTTCTGCCTTCTAAAGAATTCTGCCTTCTAAAGAATTCTGCCCTGCAACCCTACAACATTTATTAGTGTCCACATACAGATCTAGAGATATTAATCTTTCCTTGCATCTACCTAAAATAATTAGTTGTAATAGTAAAAGATTCTATCAATGTGTATAGTGCTATAGTGTACTTTTTCCAAGCAGGAGATTATATAATTTGACTTTGACTCTTGTTGTTTAGACTTTGACTCTCATTGTGGTTTAAGTGGCCAGAGTGAAAGTCGTTACACATTCTTCAGTTGGATTCAGATTGCCTCTTATATTATGACTTTGAATTCAACAAAGTGATAAACTGTCAAACACATCATAGGGAAGGTAGGAAGCAGAGACTACTGAACACATAGAATGCTTTTTTTGATATGCATTTTTTGCCTCTATACTGCTTTAAGCTCTTCTATAAAATAATTATTCATGTAGAAAACCAACATGAAATCAATTTTTGTGAATTAGTTCATTGATTTATAATTGATTTTTGAATTGAGATAATCTAATAAAATGCATAAATACAAAGCAATAATAGTGCTACTGAATTCTTAATGGCTTATTCAACAAATATTTTTGAACCCTTATTATACACCAACACTGTGAAATTTCCACCAAAGTATCTATTGACTTTTCTAGTTTAATTATGGTTCCAGAAAGGTTGACTCACTAGTATGAATATTATGAAGTCACATTCTAAAGTAAAATGTCCATTTTCAGGAATAGGATTTCCATGGGTTCTATGAATAGATATATAAAAAAGGAACCTTTAATTTCTCTGTGTGGCCATGAGAGAAGACAATCACTTACAAGTATTTTGTCAATAATATCATACACCCAGTAAAACTTCTCTCAGAAAGCGGATAAAGACAGCAAGAGAGGCAAGACCTTGACTCAAAATCAACTCCCAGTTACAATCTAGCAGTGAAGATAAAATTAACCACCATCACTTTCTCCCTAAGCTTCCAGTGTTCCAGTATCTTCTTGGCTAGTCTTATTCTAAACACAGACACAGATTTTGGCTCATGTTTAGTCTCATTATATTGTAACTGAATATAATCTTCTCTCTCTAAAATTTGGCTTAATGTGTATTGGCTTTCTCTGTTGTCACTAAGTATTATTAAATATATAAAAAATAAAATTAATCTTTTTCTCTACAAAAATTGTCAAATGTGAAATATCAGGTAGCATATTTCTGTATTTTCCTACATAAAATATTTTTATTGTTAAAAAACAAAATACTACAAAAAAAAAACTAAAAATTAACAGCACCCCTCTGTTTCCATACACTGAATTCTGCTTCAGAGTTAATGATAGTCATGCTAAAATACTTTTATACACTTACTCAGCATTTTCCTAATCATACAGTATTGTAACTGGTTTGTGGGATGGGAAAGGGCTCAGCTCTCTCCTCGATTGGATGTACCCAGGGTCCTAGGCCTCTCTTTGCCCCAAGAATAAGGAAGGGGTCCTGGAGGAGTGGTGAGCTTACAATTCAAGTAAATATCAGATCCAAAGACTTTAGCAGAGAGCAAATTATTAGGCAGAGAAAGAGGGAAGTAGAGAGAGCTCCCATGCTGCCATGAGAGGGGAATCCAGAGGGGATATCTGCACAAGTAGAGAGGAAGAGGCAGCTCCCACGTTGCTGTGGAAGGGGATCCAGAGAAAGTCCACACAGGTAAGGGGCAGTGGGACTTTAATCTTGGAGTTATTCCTGCCCCATTCATGTTCTTGTCCAATGAGAGGAGTTCTTTAAAACTTCCCCTGGAGTGATTGATCTTCAACTTTGATATTAGATTGGCCGTCTGGTCTGCAACAGAGCCCCTTCCTCCCAGGGCTTTCCACAGGCTTTTTTTTTTTTTTTTTTTTTTTTTTTTTTTTTTTTGAGACGGAGTTTCGCCCTTGTTACCCAGGATGGAGTGCAATGGCGCGATCACAGCTCATCTCAACCTCTGCCTGCTGGGTTCAGGCAATTCTGCCTCAGCCTCCTGAGTAGCTGGGATTACAGGCACCCGCCACCATGCCCAGCTAATTTTTTGTATTTTTAGTAGAGACGGGGTTTCACCATGTTGACCAGGGTGGTCCCGATCTCTTGACCTCGTCTTCCACCCGCCTCGGCCTCCCAAAGTGCTGGAATTACAGGCGTGAGCCACGGCGCCTGGCCTTCCACAGGCTTTTTAAAGAGAGGAGCACATCTTGAATTTTACCTAGACCCCATGCAGGAAAGTCAGACAACTCTAGGTTCCCCATGGGGAGGTGGGTGGAGGCATGGCACTGGGAAGCTCTTGTCTTTGAAACCACACCCCTCTGGACTTGGTTTTCCTTAACATAGTCCCTCAGTCCCCCCTCTGAACAGGAAAGTGCAGCTGCTGTTGGGATATGGGCATTGATCACTCTTTAGCTACTTCCTGCTGAATTGGGGCATAGAAGGGACCCTGCCGTTGAGGCTTCCTCCAGAGGGGAGTCTTCCAGGGGTGCAGGTTGACCTAGAGGTCCATGACAGAACTCTGGAGCCAAGGACATCCAGGGTTCCATTTGCAGGATCATTTGTGGCCTTGTGGCTTCAATTCTAGAGGAAATGCACTTGACAGGAAGGTGAAAGATGAGAGGCCCAAAGGCCAGCAATAATAGAATAGTTGTGAATGGCCTAGGAGAGGGTAGATCCAGGACAGCTAGCTGTTAATCAAGCTCCACTATTCTCTTTCTTGAAGGTCTTTAGCCTGTGCTTGATTTGGTCCCTGAGTTCTTTGACCTTGTTTAAGACAGTACCTGATTAGTTTATAAAGAGCAGCATATTTTTCAGAAAGAGGTTTCTTTTTTCTCTGCTGTTAACAGATTTACTGCCCTTCTGTTCTGAAGAGCTATGGCAGATAAAGAGTTAAGCTGCTTTTGTAGAGAAAATTGGCAACGTTTTTCATGATAGTGTTTAACTCCTGAGATAGCTTATAATAACTGAGTAGAAGTAATAACTTTTGAAGCCAGTATCAGATTGTCCTGTCATGCCCCCCCCCCACCATGAAAGGAATCATTGGGATTTGACTATGGCATGGCCATGTCAAAAGTCAGAGTCTTCTGCACCTCAGAGTCAGTGTACATTATCATGGGGGGCACTAGGAAGGAGAGGAGCAGAGCTATTAGGCCAATCCATAGGGGCAATTGTATAGAGTCTGGTTGCAGGTAGTGAAGTTAAGAGTGATAGTTCTGTTAATCCCAGGATGTAAGTTAGACTTATGAGTAGTTACTCTCCTGGGGATTTTGTCGAAAGAGCAAACGTAGATCCTCTAATGACTCACAGGTGTATGAAGGGCCACCTCCCAGAACTTTGGACTGTGGAGT